CGCCGCGCGCTGCGCCCCGCGCCCCTCCGCGCGTGAGGCGGGGGCGGAGGAGCAGGCGGCAAAACGCGTTCGCGGCCCTACAGAATTACCAAAAAATCGGAAAAACAAGTGCCCGGAGACGGGACTTAGTTCTGGGTGCTCATGAGAGCACAAAAAAAGAAGTTCTATTAAAACAGGAGAAATCTCTAAATATTGCCGCGTCTTAAATTGTCTCTATCTCTCTGTCACACACGGAATTGAATGAGGAGAGACAACAGTGGCATGTATTTCTGTGAGCATGGAGAGGGTTAAAGCTTTTTGTACAATTGAAAAAGATTATAATAAATCCTGGGGTGGGCTTTTTTTTTCCTCTCCTTTTTTTGTTGGTATGCGTACCCATATGCACATACATAAATTTGTGCATACAGGAAGCTGGAAATATTGCTTAATGTTGCTGGAAAGTTTTCACTTAAAGGGGAGTTAAAACTGCTATCTCTCATTAAGATGGTTAAGTTTATTCTCCAGATCTAGGAAAAGAAGCGATAGCACATTGAGAGTATTTATTTAGTGAAGTTGCTTTTTTTTTTTTTTCCTTTTTTTGAGGTACTCCATTCTTCCAATTCAGTCCTATATTACAGCTAGAAATTCTGTTCATTCTGAAGCAAAATGCCATATGTGGCCAAATTTTCCACATCAGTTTATCATTAAATATTAGCAGTGCAGATTAAACATCAAAAAAAGGAACATTTTCAGGGTGTTTCTAAAGCACATACTCGCCAATCCGAGGTTTTCAAACGTAATTGGGAGTTTCGGAAAGGTTCATGTTATGTGCAGGTAGCCCTTCGAAACGTGCTGCATCCAGCGGGAAAGGGCTTCTGCAGCATGGGACACAAGCAAGGCCATTGAAACAGCCCAGCAAAATGTATCTGGACATTACGAAGGGATATTGGGAGGAGATGGAGAGGAGGGTAACTCTCTGGTAACCTTGCTAAAGAGGTTGTTGGTGAAGAAACCATCTCTGCTGCATGTTGACCAGTTGGGATGAGTGCAGTAACATCTATTGACAGATCCCTGCAGCAAGAGCTTCTCCACAGGGCTCCTCTCCTGCCCCTGTGCACCAGTATAAACCGTAGAAGGAAGTACAGCCAAAAGGTGACCACGAGGACTGATCCGCAGAGAAGGAGCAGAAGTTTAGGGTTTAGAAGACACGAGATTTGTCTGCCAGATTATGCTGTATTCAGGACTCCTTCCCAAGCACTTTTCCTGACCTCTTTACTTCCTTTCTGCTGTCACATTCCCCATTTTGTTCTGCTCCCCCTCCAGATCCTGAGGTCTCTTTGACCTCATGAGATTTCCAGTGTGACAGACTTCTGGCAGCTTGCTGACTTAGTGCATCCCCTTTCCTAAGTTACTGCAAGTTTCTTGGAAACATCGTTTCTCCTTTGTGTTTTCTGAAGCCAAGAGAAAAAAAAAAAAAAAAAAAAAAAAAAAAAAAAAAAAAAGCTCTTCTGCTCAGTTCTCACAGATATCTGAATTCAAGCATAGTTCATTTACTAATGACACAGTCCTTACAAGTTGAGAAGCTTGGCTGGCGGAGTGATACACATACTGAAACGACTGCTGGTTTCCATGTGTTCCTGATCCATCACTTCTCTACCATCCTCAGCACGCTCGTCCTTAACCCCATTTCTCTACAGGGCGCCATAAACCCAAAAGCTTCACACCTTCTTTTAATGAGCAGTCAATATAGTAATTATATGTTCAATATTTGACTGTTAAAAGATAATCCTCTGATAAAATGTATAAAGAGCATGCAAGCATTACCTTGAATGGCTTGTTTGTCCGCTCTGTAAAAGTAGAAGAGTACGAGAGAGCATCCTGAGAACAAGGGGATCTCATTGAGAGAAGTAGAAGATGGGACAGTTCCTAGTCCCATGCCATGGCTATTTTCCAGTTTCTTCTTTATAATACGGCATTATTGGTGTTTGCCATAATCCTCCATGCAAATCTTGCCCTCTCTCTCTGCACCTGTGTAAGTGATACGTTTGCTTCTAAGTTGGGCCTGGCACGAGGTCCCAATGGACATCCCCACCCATAGTTGTCAGGATATAGTCTGCTTGCTTCATGTGTTTCCAAGCTTAATTGACTGATGCATGTGAGAGATTACTAGGAAAAATACGAAGAACATTAAGTGACTCCATGTTAATCTACTGAAATGTCTGAAAATGCACAGATGCATGTGGTAACATCTCTTAAAAGTGTTCTTAAAAGTGGTGAAGTACTTGCTGGGGAGCTATTCTTTCAGCTCTAAGGATCGTGATCTTTTTTCTGCTGTTGTTGCTAAAAGCAGAGTGACATGATAGAATGTGGCAGGGGGCACAGTACTAGAAGGGACACTACACGCCTGTAATCTTGTAGCCACTCAAGTTTTGAATACCAAAGATAGACTTTCCGTGCTAGGAAGCTGTCTGAGATTTTCAGAAGGAAACTAGGACTTAGATTGTGAATCAGTACATGGACACCAGCTAGACGTTTCTTTCGCCTAGATGTCTCTAAATCTGAGAGTTCATTACTTAAAATTAATTAAATGCCCATTAATGTTTAATTCTGAGACCAAAATGAGCAGCAACTGGGCCAAGAGAGAATGAGGGAGTGCTTTCCTGGAATCAAGATGGAGAGAACAGAAGATGGATATGAGAAGGGAGACTTCTCACTCCTGCAGCACCTGCAAGGAGTTTCATCAGAGCACTGAAGACCTCCACATAAGAGAAAATCTTTGCAGAAGTCACTGTAATAAATACCTGTGTATTCGAACATGTGTTTCACTTTCAACATCCTTGTTGTAGAGTGCTACATATTATAGTCCTCCTATAGCACTGCAATTAGTATTGAAAATAGCATTTCCAAGTATAGAAATAACAGCCTTATGGCAAAATGCTGAAGGAGAAGTACGTAACTTTTGTTTATGTTAATACTGGTCACCCAGAAAAATGAGAAAATTGATTTATATGACATCAGTTCAACAGGAAAAAAAAGAAAGAAAATACAGTGAAGAGATGGTGCCCGATAACTTACATGTTCTGAATAGTCTAGGTATTTTGCTTACTTAAAAAAAAAAAGTTAGTTTCTGTGTGCTTAAGCTTAAAACATAAATCTCACTGAGAAGTAAAAGAATACTCTGCATACAAATTTAGATACATTTATATTTCAGTACCTCAATAAAGTGAGTGTTTTCATTTCCTTTGCAAAATGTAATTCCTTTCTTCTCATTTTGCTGACGCATATATGATGCTGTTTAAAAGCTGGCACCCCTTTCTGACAGCTGTATTTGGAAGATTGAGTCACTGCCATAGCTTTTCTGTATAGTTCATTGTTTAAAAAAAGGAGGGAGATGAATCAAAATAAACTTTTAAAATATCTTTTTTCCTCATATTCCATAATAAAGGTGCATGAGCAGACTGTGTATAGAACAGAAGAAAGTTTGTCAAAGTCTGTTTTCCAGTTGTCTGTATATTTTCTAGTGCCTCAGTACAATTTGGCAATAGTGATTAAGTGACAACACTAATATAACAGTCTTTCAAGAAATGGCATGTTGTCCAAAAGCTGCTTCACGGACTGAAAAGGAGCCATAAAAGGACACAGTGAAATTCAAAACAATTTGGAAAAAAAATAAAAAAAAACTTTCTTTATCTCTCTTTCAAATTATTTACATGGTGCTGGCTTAAAGAAAACAGTAAGTAATGTGGCTGATGGAAAGTTTTCTTTGTTGAACTTGTCTCCAAATGTGCCTCAGGGCCTATGTTTGGGCTCCTGATGGATGGAGTCTTACCCTGTCCATTTTTTGAGGCAAATATGTGTCTGACAACTGAAGGTTTTGCCATTAAAAAATGGCTTCTTTGTCCCACAATGTGGGAATCACTTTTCTGTGGCAACATCTAGGGTTATATAGGAAGTTTTTTTTTTTTTTAATGGTTTAGCATTCCCAACATTGAATAAAAAATATTTTAAAAGTATTTGGAGATTTCAAAATGTTTTAAAATTTAGGAAAAGCATTAAATAGTTACAAAGTAATTTGAGCAGTAAGGTGTTAGTTCTCTTTTGTAATCAAATAATAAACAAGAATGGGAAGTCAGAAGAGGCAACTTAAAATGTCAGTGGCTGGCATGGAATGCCACAGAAATAAATGCTGCCACAATTCACAAGCATAATATTTAATCTGTTATTTAGGGAATACAGTATTCACCAATGCCCTTCATAACAAAAATAACCAGAGGTATTTATGTGATATGTATAGCAGGTACTATAATAGGAGAGATGGTATTGCAGTTGTCCTTTTGGTTTTAGGATTATGAAACTATAATACTGAATTTATTGGAGTGGAATAGGAAATAAAATTGTTCAATGCCATTCAAGGAGATTTTCAGGTCAACAGTATAGTATATGTGTTAACTCTGCCCTCACCAATTGACCATGTAGGTGCAAGGATTAGTTCAAAATAATTTATTGAACCAGAATATTTAGGTTCTGATGATTTGCTTTTTCTTCTTTTTTTTCTAAAAAGTATACTTTGAAATAAAACCATTTTCATTGCTGTAGAGAAAATGAGAAATCAAAATATTGAATTTCTTAAATTTCTTTTTTCTCCACTTCCTTCAAAATTGTTTCTACTTCAGATAAGAAACAAAACACTTTCCAATCCATAGTAAGAGCAAATCAACTGAACCTATGATATTTTCTATAAAATATATTCATGATTTTGACCATCTTTCCTGTTTTCTAGCAAGAATCCATTGACATCAAAACTATCTGAATAAAAATGTGAAGAGAGGACCAGCAGAGAAACACATCATCTTAGCAGATCTTGAGGCAGAAATTACAGTTAATAGAGTGTATTACTGGTCTGAATATATATATATTTTTAAATTTAAAAGAGAGTCTTGTAATTGTCAATGAAAGAAAAAAGACGTATCACATTTCTGTGCTCTGTGAGGCTTAAAAAGAAGTAACTTTTGCTTTCTTTAGTTTTGATAATTTCAGTGTTTGTCAAAACAGTTGACAAAATCAGGCTAAATGAGCAAAATTGATCCTTTTAAAAATTATTTGGATTCCCCCTTCTAAAACTGTTCAGGGCCTGGCACTAAATCTGAACCTGGAAGAAGGTCTTCTGCTTGCAAAGGAAAAGATCTTCCCGCAAAGGAGGCTGATAGTGACATCTCCTGCATTATTGCTGTTTCATGAAGATGACAGGGCTAGCAGTTCTTCCTTAAACTGGAGAAGATCTGAGGTTGAATTCACATTCTGCCTTTTGATAAGAAATATGACTGCTTTTTCTTTGTCTGGCAATATCCTTTTAAACTTTGCATGCAGCTGCCCGCTTACCCTGTGTGACACTAACCTCTCCCCTTGCTTTTTAACATTTTTTTAATATGCTTATTTCCCAGCGCCTAGAACTCTTTCGTATTTATCTGTAAATAAATTTTTAGTCAGCTCTTAGATAATTTATGCTGAGCTGAAACCATAGTGTTCAGTGTTTCATAGGCAAGGTTTTGAAATGGGAACGTCATGGTGGAGCTGCACATAGTGCCAAACACATTGAGTAAGTGCTTAATAACAGCACCCGAAAGCTCTTTACGCTTCAAGAATGGTGGGAACTTTGCCTGCCCAGTTCTCCTTGGTGATACACACACTTTTTATCTGGAATAGCCAGAGAGTGACCTGTCACTGAAGAAAGAGCATAGTTCCCAGGACAGGACATCCAGGAGGATCCACGTTACAGGAGCAGGTCTCCTGCAGACTGCAGCTCCCTGGTGGCTCCGAAAAGCTCCTGAGTGAAAAGCATCGTCTTGACCATCTCTTTTTTGTCACTGAAAGCCTGAAATCTGCAGCTGCATCCTCACAGTGAGCCCATGAACCCTGCTGACACGTGAGGTGCTCTGCGGGTCTAAGGGGACACCTGGAAGCTCCGAGAGCAGGACATTAGCCCAGCACTGCTGTGCTTGGGTACCTGAAAACCGGTAGCGTCTCTGCCCCTCCTCTACTGCCAGCACACAGGACACTGAGCTTCGATGGGCAGGAAACAGCACTTTCTGTCAGTGCTTTAGATGAGCATACTGCCAGCTTGGGCTTGTTTCCCTGCAAGAGAATAGGTTTCATAGCAGGGCTTTCGAATTTCCATCCCAGCTACTGTGAACAAACATACCCTTCTGTGTGTGTGTGTGCGTGTGTGTATTTATTTGCTCATTATTTTTAAAAAAGTTTAGTGCTACTCCGAACACTCCTTTTTTTTTTTTTTTTTTTTTCTTTTCACCTAGATCGGCAGACTGGTTATTGGCCAGAATGGTATTTTATCCACACCTGCTGTTTCATGTATTATCCGAAAGATCAAAGCAGCTGGTGGAATTATTCTAACAGCTAGTCACAGCCCGGGAGGACCTGGAGGAGAGTTTGGAGTCAAGTTCGAGGTTGCCAATGGAGGTGGGTTATTTTAGCAACACATTACATCATTGCATCTCAGAATGATGAAAATATGTTGACAAGGATAGCAAATTATTTTAACTGGATAGGTTCTTCAGTAATTCTGTCGCTACCATGAAGAACATATGCATATCTATTTTTTCTCTGCTAGGAATGTCTTAATTTATATGTGTATTTACAGTTAGCATTAAATGTTCATTGAAGTGATATCAATAGGATTTCTATTAAAAGGAGTTTTGTAATCTTATTTTCATACCATTTTATTTAGTCTGCCAGAGCACTGCAACAGTCTGTTCCTGTTATAAAGATGCCCATGATGGAACCCTGTTTTGCTCATACTTCTGTGTTGCTTGTCTTGGCGTTTATTTTAGAGCTTGTAATTTCTGAAGTGCTGTAAGTAGCATAGCTCATTTTTCTCATATGGAAGTAAGTGCTTCTCATGTTTGCCCACGAAATAACTGCACTTTTCTGAGGGGAAGGTTCTACTGTTTAAATACAGTAATTCCACTGCATAATCAAATTTGTGTGTGTAGCTGATTTCTGGCTTTCTGAAGTTTTCAAATTAGAACATTGTAGATAAGTCATACATCACATATATTATAAGTTGCAGATTTCCTGTATAGGAGACATCTTGGTGACGACTGCTAAAACCTCATGTGCTTTCCATATGTAGAGTGCTTTCCCTTTGAAAATCTCAAATTACTTTTAAAAGGATGTTTTGTCCCTTGTTTTGAAGATGTGAAAATTTGAGAAGGGGTTAGTGTTAGTAGAGTCCACTGCTTAACTGAAAAATGTGCAGGTTTAAACTGGTGGAATTTTATAAACAGAACAGCCTTGGATCCCACAGAGATTAAGGGGCATGTTTAAGGTCAGACAGAGAAAGAGCCATGGCTAGGTCCAAACCATTAGGTACAGCAGCACTTCATAAACTTCAAAATACTGCATACCACCTAAAATCTTTTTGATAAATGGGAAACAGTTAGTGGGGCTTTCTTTTTGTGCATTTTGCCTTTCGAAAGAAAATCTAAACAGGCTATTAAGCTTTAAATATAAAGCCCTCCTCAAGGATCACAGGGACCAATCATTTACCCTAGTCAGCAAGGACATAGCAGAAAGTAGTTGGCTTAAATTGCAACTGAGGAAATATATGTTAAGTATCAGGAGGAGCTTTGGGGCTATGAGAACGGTTAGTCACCAGAGTAAGCTGCCAGGGGAGGCTATAGGATCACCTTAGCTAGAAATACTACTATGAGGCAAGATATCCATCTATCAGGGGTGATTTACAGCTGGTGAAACCTGTCCTCACCCCCTGGGTGTACTTGGCATAGCTGTGTAAAAGCTGTTATTTATGCTATTGCCTTGCACCCAGTGGTGCTCAGCCCCTGCGATGAAACACCCTGATTTACACAGCAGAACTACACTGAGCACGGCAGCTTTGCTGGAGATGGTGGGTTTTAGTAGTGAAAAAAACAGAGACATTGAGTTAGGGTCTGAGAGAAAACACAACAAGCCATTTTCCGGAGTGGAAGTGTGCTTTAATGTAAATAATGCAAAGTTGGAAAAGCCCCCCCAAGATGTTTCTGTTGTCATTAAAACTCAACTTTAACATAATGCATGACATATAGTTCATCAGATAACTTTTTGGTTCAAGCTTGCAACTTGTCAGTTACTTGACAGTAACCACAGTAAATATATAAATTTTAACAAATATAACCGATCTTTTGGATTTGGTAATAAAAGTAATACACAACAAAGACATTCATTTCTGAATGACCTAATTGTTCCAGGAAGAAATTTAGGCATTTTGAATTCCAACAAGGATATATTTTCTTAACCTGCTGGAAGAAAGCTGCAGGAAATTAACACCGTCTGACTGTTAAGACGGGTTTTCTTTTGTTGTTGATAATATATTTTTAATGAAATTGTGTGAAACACAAATATATCTTGGTTTCACATGTGTGCACTTGCAAAAAGTCCTACCCAACCTCAAAAGCTGCTGCTAAAGAACTAGTGTTCTTTAACCTACATATTGAGTTTGCTGGCAAATAATTTGTACACTTTTATGAACTCTAATGATGAGTAACGCTCTGCATTTCCACTTCGCATTTTTTCAAAAAAGGTGTTAAGCCTCCATCTCACTGTGATAAAACACTGTATTTTCCTTTTTTTGCACTTCTTCTTCAATAGCTATGTTACATTCTTAAGAGGTGAGTGCTGTAGCATCAATCCTGTTTTGAGTGTAGGGAACATTTACTTAAAAATGACCCCACTCCCTTTTGTCTTCTAGGGCCTGCCCCAGACGTTGTTTCAGAAAAAATTTATCAAATCAGCAAAACCTTGGAGGAATATGCCATTTGTCCTGATCTTAGAGTTGATTTATCTCGCCTAGGAAGACAAGAATTTGATCTGGAGAACAAATTCAAACCTTTCCGAGGTACCCATATGTGCTTTTATGCATGATAAATCTCTTGATTCCGATTATTAGATTTTCTACAAAATGACAGCAGTTGTTTTTCTGAAGAGACCTTTAATTCTCCAGAATACCTTACTACCATTTATTAAAACACTATGCTGTAGAGGTAAGCATTGCATTTGTTCTGCACATAAGGAAATGGACGCGTGGATTTAAAGTGCCTCAAGCTTTAAAATGTAGCCAAATACTTGTGCCAGGTGTACGTACTTAGATCCAGTGTAGTTAAACACCAAACATAAGCACCTTCTCACTGGGAAGAGTTTGACCAAACTGACAGATCGCTTAGTGAGATTCTCAGTTTATTCACTCTTGGGTAACAGTTCCCTTCTGAAATGTGGTGGGATGCAGAAGACAGTGTCTCCAATTAGAAAAGGAGTATTAAAGCATATGTTTAATTTTAGGTTTACCCGGACTTAAGATTACACTTATACTTCTACTCGATTTAAAATGAGGTAGTGAACAGAGCCATTTTTTCCTGAGTGAGTCAAAAGGAAAAAGAAAAACAAAGCAAAACAAACAAAAAAAGACAGTATTTCAAATACTGTTGAATTCTATGTAGCCTCCAGAACTCTTCCTCATTTTTGGTATCCCAGAATTAAAGCTGGTTTATTTTCCACCATTACATTATCTTTTGAAAGAAAATACAGTTTTGTTGATAAGCAAACTGTATTCTTTACTGAGAAAAACATGCTCTTTGGTAAAAAACAAAAAGTAAATTCAGTTGTGGATACCACTTCATAGTTGTAGAATGGTGGCACAGTTTAAAATTTTCTGTTTTCAGTTCTTTAATCTCTCCAAATTGTATCTTTCAAAAGTGAAAATGAGAAAAAAAATAGCCATGATAAAAATAGACTTAAAATAATTCCAATATGATTTAATATTTTTCTGAGGAGAAATAATTTCCCCACCATCTCTTCCCAGAAGGCAGAATTCTTGGACTCCCATTCTTGGACTCAGTAGGACTCCCAGGGAAATTTATTGATGCCCATGAGAATAAACTGGTTTGATTTCACAGGAGCTGAAATTATTTTCAGTACTTTGCTGGTATGCTTATCTTAGCATGTGTGAGTAGCTCCCCTGCTGATTTTGAGGCATTTGTTCATGTGTGTAAAGATTAGAGCTTGCATAGACATTGTCAGAATTAGAATTTAGAAGCCACGGAGTAATATAATTTTAGTGAATCCTTGAGACTTTCAACTTTTACCATAAAATTAACTCATTTGCAAATTGGTTTTGTTGCCCAGTTCAAGCGTATTTTCCTAATTTATTCTAAGCTTTTGTCTTAGGCATAAAAAACGTCTGTTTCATTTTCATGTTACCCTAAAGAAGAGCATTCAGGTGAGGTCAGCATTTCTGAGGAAAGCTGGCTGATATTTTAAATGATAATTTATCTTATAACTAAAAATATTTCAAGATACTCATTTGACTATATTAAGAGACATTTGTGTAAAATACAGTCTTTAATTTAAGCAGGGAAGGTGTTCCAGGATGACTGAAAAGCCATACTTTTGACAGTTTTTGGTAACTATTTTCATGGCAACAGACTTTCAGTGATACATTTTAGTTTTATCTGTTTTATATCCCACATAACTAGAAAAATTATAGCTATCTGTCTCTACAAACTCAGGATGTAAATAAGCATGATCTTAGCAAAAAACAGATGTTGTATTTGAACTTAACTTCTCTAAATCAGCAAAATATAAAATACAGAAGTCTAGTGGTAGATTGATGACAAACTGGAAACAGACATTCCAGGTGCCAAAAAAGAAAGAATAAGCTGTATTTCTGTCTGACTGAACAATGCAGATTGATGCTGCTGTCAAATGGAGGAATAGAAGTTGTAGTTTTGTCTCATCATAGACACTTTCCATCCTTCAAAAATAAGCCTATTTAGCTTGAAAAGCTTTTCAGTGACTTAGGGAATAAATACAGTGTTCACTTTCGTGTGGTGCGATTTTTTGAATGTTTTCAGAGAAACACGTCTTGCCATTGAGGTTAGTGTGAAATCCTCTAGTGGACAAAACACTTTTGGTCTTTGCAAGGCTTAAAACTTGATAGAAACCCCACTGAAAATCAGTGGAAGTTTTTTTACTTTGTGCCTTCAGAACAAGCAGAACATGCTCTGTTTTTAGTACATAAGTTGTTTAACAGCACCTGGGGAGATATTTGTGCCAACTGTAGCACTTTTTAAAATTATTTATTTTTAACCTTATTTTTCCAGTGGAAATTGTTGATTCTGTGGATATCTACCTCAATCTCCTTCGAAGTATCTTTGACTTCAATGCGATCAGAAGTTTTCTGACTGGACCCAACCAGATTAAGATAAGGATTGATGCCATGAATGGAGGTATGAATTTACATTCCTGTCAGGACAAAATCATTTAATCTGAGGCAGTAAAGTCCTTCAAGAATTTTATGCCAGTAGATGTTTTTATGATTGAAAAGGTGCGGACCTGTAATAGCATCCCAATAAAGATATCGTATGCAACCTTCAGGTTTTGTAGAAAGGTTAAAGCTAATAAAAAAGGATTTGAACATTAGACCTAGCTTATTAAGTCTTCTTAATGTATTACATCCCTTATTAAGTAAAGGGAATGGTCTTTCTAAATAAAAGAGAAGTGAAGGCTTATGTGTCCAATAAATGTTTTCTTTTGGCATTTGGAAGCAGCCAGGATGAGGTCAGCTTACCATGCAAAGATGATGGAGTATGCTGCAGTGTGTAGTAAACTCAAGGTTACAAGAGAGCCTCTAAGGATAAGTGCTGTATGATTACTAGATCTGAAAGAGTTTCATCCAGAGTCTTTAAAGAGTTGGCTGTGACTGTCTCACAAATGTTAGTTTTTAATCAATTTCGGTGTACCGAACACAAGATGGAAGAAAGAATTATAGAAACAGCAACAGGACTAGTTCTGTGGCAATATTCAAAATGACTGCGAAAACAAAAGCCACATGGCCATGTATAGGCCAGTCTGACTTTGCTCTTGGGCAAAATCATGGAGAAATATTTCCCTGTGTAAAGATTTTAAGGACAGGGATCTAAATAATGTTCAACATTATTTTTTTGGAAAACAATTCTCATCAAACAAACCAGGTTTCACTCTTTAATGAGATTACACAGCCAGACTTATAAAGGGAACGGTTGGACTTAATGAGCTTTTGAAATACATTTTATCTAGTACAGTCACTGTTCAAAGCATTATAATGGGCATGAAGTCAATGTGAGTGCTCTGTGCCAGGCTGTGGCAGAAGGTCAAATGATGTCCTTGAAATACGAAGGGGGAACAATTCAGAGGGGACTGTTTCGGTTGTAACTTGCAGCACTGGAGGGAATATTGCTGAAATAGTGCTCAGAGCTCCAGTTAATGCCTTAACTGCCTAAATGCTGATTTGTTTTACTAGTAGTTGGCCAGTCAGTTAGTCGGTCAGTCACCTGAATCAGCAATATTATTTATTTTTGGAATATTTAGGAATATTTATTTTAGCAATTATTAGGAATATTTTTTATTTTATTTTTAGGACTGATGTGTAGAATCGCACAAGTTACGTTTTGCCTCAGGTCTCTCTGGCACAGTGAAAAATCTGAATATTAAGCATATACATGAGTGCATGACATCTTTTTTTATTATTATTTGCAGTTATGGGACCTTATGTGAGAAAAATCCTGTGTGATGAATTAGGAGCTCCTGCAAATTCTGCAATAAACTGTGTTCCTCTGGAGGATTTTGGTGGACAGCCTCCTGATCCCAATTTAACATATGCAGCTGCCTTGCTGGAGGCTATGAGAGGTGGAGAGTATGGATTTGGCGCTGCTTTTGATGCTGATGGAGTAAGTATTTTGGGCTGTCCTGGGGTTTTACCATAGATGTTGTTTTGTCTGAGTTCAGAGATGGTACTCGTAAATGCAATTCTTCATTTTTTCAGTAAGCTCTCAGTCCTGAGGGTGATACTACTTTCATGCACAGATGATAGGAGTTGTATCCACAAATCAGATACATATGGTATAACTTGTCCCTGCAAAATTGAAAATACATCAAGGATTTAAACTCAGAATGAGAATTCTTTTTTACACTGAGGTGATCTTTTTTCCTGTACTGCCATAACACCTCTCCTCCCCGGCCAGAAAAAAAAAAGACATCATATGTAACTGGTGGAGATCAGTCACAGCAGGTAGTTATTGGGTGAAGTCAGTGTTGTCTAACATCTTATTATTATTTTTAATCTAAATGAGGTACTGAATCAAACTCCGTTTGTTTTTATTTATGTTTACATCTTGTTACTTGCATTTTAAACAGTAACAGATAACTTTCTGATCTGACAGAATATGAAAATAATAAAAGGCTGTGAGGAACAGAAGCTGTTTTCTGCTGTTAGTAAACAGAAATACCTTCCTGTCTATTTCCTGTGTAGTTTGTATCAATAACTCTCTCCAAAGCATAAGATATCAGATCCTTTGTTGAATTTTTGTCTGCAGGACCGCTACATGATCCTTGGCCAAAATGGTTTCTTTGTTAATGCATCTGATTCGTTGGCAATTATTGCTGCCCATCTGTCTTGCATTCCATACTTCCGTCAGACGGGTGTTCGAGGATTTGGGAGGAGCATGCCTACCAGCACAGCCCTTGACAAGTAAGACAAAACATTCACTTATAGCACCTTAATTCTGACATTTGTCAGTTGTCTCCCTGCTCCGTAATGTGTAACAATTCCAAAATTGTGAAGTCTTTTCTTGAAGGTTTCTGATTTTCACAATCTTTATGTACTTCATTCTTTTAATTTAGTTAGTTTCAAAGGCATTTGATTCATGTAGAATAATGTGCCTAATCTTTGCTTGGATAAAAATAGTTAAATTCAGTCTGAAAGGGAAATTAGTAAGTCTCATCCTCTTGAGAGTAAAGCCAATGACTGGTCATTTCTTTTTCAAATAACTGAAATCTTTTTCATTGTAAATAATGATTTACAACATAGTCTGA